CAGGACACGGGGATAAAGAGACAGGACTGGAGGTCTGGAAAGAAAGGAAAATAAAACAGCTCACGTACGAAGACATCGGATCTGGACCACAGAAGACTAGTTCTAGCCCACACAGGCGCCAATGATGCTGGCCACTTCCATATTCCGGGCAAATGTACTTTCGCACCAGAATTCTGCAAATAGACTAAAATTCTAAACTAGAATTCAATTTAAGTTCTGGACCGAATAAAGGTATTTTGGTTTGGAATGTTCTCCAGGCTCCAGTCAAGCAGAAAGAAGCTAAGAAACATTTCTAAATACAGGGATTTACCAAGAAACAAATCCAGAATGTAGGAGACAGCAGAGCCAGACAAGAGAAAAGGAAGACAAAGTCAGGGTGACATTACGGGGCAGACCTCAGCAATGTCCCACCCAGTCAGCATGGTGGGAGGTCTGACGCCTCCAGGAAGGCTGAGCTGGGGGACCTGACAGCTAAACCTCACAACGTAGACTCTGGAAGGTTTTAACATTTTGATAGTTCAGGAATTCTTGACAGATGTAGAAAAATACAAATACATAGAAAAATGAGGTTAAGATTAATTCAAAGAACAAAAATAGTGCCAGAAAACTAATGCAGTTCCGATACCATAACACTCCACTCACAGTCAGTCTCATGTGCATGGCTGTGATGATCTGAAGGCAGCGTGCCGGAAGGAGAGGAAGTGGGAAGAGGGGGTGAGAGGGCAAAGAGGGGACAGACAGGGGCCAAGTCGTTGCCTCCCAAAATAGAACTAAAATCGCATATACAATTGAGTCTGCAATAGAGGAATGAGCCTATTCAGAAATACGGAAATAAGTCCCAGAAGAGTGAGATGAAACAGACTTTCAGGATGTCTAAGATGAGAAATCCATGAGATTGTGTGTGTGTGTGTGTGTGTGTGTGTGTGTGTGTGTGTGTGTGTGTGTTGGGGAAGGTGTGGATAACATATATCTATATTATTGTAAGTCATGTGATAATTGTTATATGTTAGAAATGCCACTCACAAAATCTGTTTCCATGTATTACTTTCATAAACACTTGAAAATTGTTTGGAAACAATCCACATATGATTTTTGGTTATTTCTTTTTTTTTTTTTTTGAGTTAGAGTCTCACTCTGTCGCCCAGACTGGAGTGCAGTGGCCACTCCTGGGCCACTGCAGCCTCGACATACTGGGCTCCGGCGATCCTTCCGCCTCAGCCTTCCAAGTAGCCGGAATTACAGGCGTGCGCTACCACGCCCGGCTGATTTTTTGATTTATTATAGAGATGAGGTCTTGCTGCCCAGGCGGGTCTCGAACCCGTGGGCTCAGGCACTCCACTCACCTCAACCTCCCAAAGGCGCGGGACTACAGGCTGAGCCACCGAGCCTGGCTTGGTTATTTCTTAAAAACAATTCAATTTTGATTCGTTTTATTTTTTTGAGTAGGAGTCTCACTCTGTTGCTCAGACTGGAGTGCAGTGGCATGCTCACGGCCACTGCAGCCTCGACCTACTGGGCTCAAGGGATCCTTCCACTTCAGTCTTCAAAGTAGCTGAAACTACAGGCATGTGCCACCAAACCTGGCCAATTTTTTGATTTATTGTAGAAATGAGGTCTTGCCAAGTTGCCTAGGTTGGTCTTGAACCTGTGGGCTCAGGCAATCCTCTCACCTCGGCCTCCCAAAGTGCTGGGATTATGGGTGTGAGCCACTGCGCCTAGTCAACAAATCAGTTTTGGATAGCAGACTCCTGAAATCTGCATAACTGGAAATTTAATGATGCACTTCTGTTCCAGTTTCTCCACCCACATGTGAGGTTCTGAAGAAACCTCACTGTCCCAGGGTGTTCTTCACAAAGATTTAGACTGGGCCATAGGTCTTAGTGCCATTTTAGACCACGATGCCTACTTTTAATTTTTAGATTAGATATTTTCTACTTAGCTAGGATGATGTTTCATGGCCAGAAAATACTGCAGAAGAACAAACAGCATATATAATTCAGGAGTATGGCATAGTAACTTTTAGAAAATTAGTTACACTGATGACATCTTTTTAAAAAATATAAATTGAGACTACATGCCGTGGTTCATGCCTGTAATCCCAGAACTTGGGGAGGCCGGGTCTGGAGGACTGCTTGAGGCCAGGAGTTAAGACCACCCTGGGCAACAAGCCAGACCTCATTTCTATGTAAAATATAAAATAAGCCGGGCTCGGTGGCTCAGCCCGCAATCCCGCGCCTTTGGGAGGCTGAGGTGAGTGGATTGTTCGAGACCCGCCTGGGCAGCGAGACCTCATCTCTACAATAAATCAAAAAATCAGCTGAGCGTGGTAAGTGCGCGCCTGTAATTCCAGGTACTCGGAAGGCTGAGGCGGAAGGATCGCTGGAGCCCAGCAGGCGAGGCTGCGGTGGCCGGGAGCGGCCACTGCACTCCAGTCTGGGCGACAGAGTGAGACTCCAACACACACACACACACACACACACACACACACACAAATATATATATATATATATAAAATAAAATATAAGTTGGATTTTCAAAGTATAAAACCTTAATGTCCAGGCCCACCGACTGAAGAATCAAAATACTTAAAGAAAATTCTTTTTCCCAGCAGTGTGTCTCAGAAAGTGAACGACAATCATACTGGATGAGGACCTTGGCTCCTTTCATTCTCGTCTTGACATTTATAAGCGACTCTACTCCTCAAGCAACTAACTACAGTCCGTTCCTTGCTCTGTGTAACATACATAGAGGAAAGCTTGAGATGCCAAGGACGCCTAAGCCCTTCTGCCGCTGGAGTGGCTGCCACCTCCACCAGGCTTGCAATGTCACAGTTGCTCCGTGAAGATGAGGGGGGTGCCGAGACGGGTCTGTCTCACTCTTACAAGCACGAGGTCAGAAGTGGGAACCCCTAGCAGTGAGGAAGTGCGAGGGTGTATTAGAAACCTGTCCTGGATTTGAGGGGCCCACATAAGATGACAGAGCACGGGGCACACTGCAGATGGCATGTTGCTGACGGCAGGGAGTTGGGCACAGAGGGGTCTCAGGCACCCGCCACGTCCTGGGTCTGACCACCACTTCTGTTTCTCTTCTGGGTTGGGAGGTGTTTGGGGACCAATTTAAGTTTTTCCCTCGACCTAAACTGTACTTACAGCCCCTCGGGTCAGCCCGGTCTCACTCGCACTCTCAGATAAACACTCCTCAGCTTCCTAATAAGTCCTTCCAGAGAAGTGGTCTCTAGGCAATTCAGATGCTGTAGCTGATGGCTGTTTCGAAACCCCTGAGGAGTTCCGGACTCCTGACAGTGGCTCTCACTGTCTTCAGGGAAAGGCAGGTAAATGTCTCATAGCTAGGTCTCATGGCTGGGAAGTCTGGTGCTGGCTGATGACATGATGCCTTTCTGCTCCCTCCTGAAGGCCGTCTACACTGCAGTAACACAGCCTCTCTCTATTCCAGAGCTCTTAGGAGTGACAGACAAATCACCCTGTGTGTGCCTTTCAACACAAGGACTGCACCAGCGGGCTCTCAGTGCTAAAGTTCAGTGACCACTAAAGTCATATCTCCTTAGGCAGACTGTATTTTCGTGGTTCGAGTGGAGCACGTGTTGAAACTTTAGCAGCAACCGGATGACATTCAGGGGCAAACGGACACTAGGCTGAGCTCTACGGGACAGAAATTCACATGCACATTTTGGACCCGTCTGCTCTTCGATTCCTTTCAGGAACGGTGGGGTTTCTCCTGGCTTGGTCCCCTGGGACTTCAAGCTGCTTAGTGCTCACAGGGAGTATTACCGGAGATTAATCGGTGCTCAGGGAGAGGGAGGAGAGGTCCTGCTCTCTGGGACGCATGTGCAGAGCACAGCCCTGATGCTGAAACGTGGCGGGATCCCGACCCCTCTTTCCACTGTGCATGCATGTTAGCTCCTGGCTGCAGGAGGGGTTGCCTTAGGGACCCAGGCAGGGCTTCGGGCTGCAGCTGGGTGTGTCCTGGAGCAACGCCCAGAAGCAGCACCCTTTAAGGAGCATGGAAACGGGATTATTTTACTGGCAAAGAAAAGTAATTTAAAAGTCACAATGACCTTTGGCACATTACAAAGATCACATAATACTGCAATAGTGACATTCTAACTCAGACAGACATATACCACGTGCACACGTATGTGCACACATAAACACATGTGTGTGTGCATGTGTATACACACATGTCCATGTGTGTCCACACAGAGCTGTGAATGGACTTCTGTGTGCCCTATATGAGGGTTCCACTTTCCAGACTCTTCAGGATGCCCGTTTCTCCCATTTCTGCCACTTTTTTCTGTCTCCTACAGTCGCCTTGTGATATCCTCCTTACGTTTGCTTCCTGGCCACCCTTACTGTCTCCAGTCTCCTCCTTCCTGAAGCTGTCCCCACCACTTCTGTGGTCTTGTCCCCATCCGCTTTTAAACTATTCACTGAACTGCTCAGCTAAAGAGACCCTTGGTTCTTAGTTAGGTTGAAGGAGCATGAATATCATAATATAATATTTTTTAGCCTTTTTTTCTAATTTTGAATGTTTGTGTGTAAATAGACATACTTTTTATCATGGGCTAAAACTATACATACCCAATTTGAGATCCTAAAAAGTGGAAATTGAGTATTTTTGCATGACACTCTCTCATTTTTAGAATCCTGACCCTGTGTCTTGCACACTATAAATACATCATAAATGTACCACAGGCGGGATGAGGGACAGACTAGACAGACATAACATCTCAAATCCATTGAGAAAAACTTTGTTTTGATGAGCGGTAAAAGCCTATCCAGATAGGAACAAAGTCGGTTAATTACTGGCTCCATTTTTTCCCTTCACATCAGATTTCAGAAAGCGAGACAATGCTAATTTGCCACTGTTCACTACAAGTCACAAATAACTGTCCAGATTGGCCTGATTTTAGCGCTAATGACTACATCTCAAAGCCAAGGAAAGATGGGTATAAATAGCAGTCTACAGTTGAAGAGTCTCACCAAAGACCGTCAGCTCCGCTGGGTCGCTGTCTCTCTCCCCCACCATGTTGGTGCCCACACAGATATACATCCCAGCGTCACTCTTCCTGGTGTTGGAGATCATCAGTTTCCCACCACGGATCTATTAAAATTCAGCCACAACAAAAAAGAAAAGGTTAAAAAAAAAGCAACAAATGGAGGAAAAGAAAAGATCACTGATAAAGAATCTTGAACACCTTACCACATTTCCTGTCCAAAAGAAAAAAAACTTTCCCACAATTTTGGCATCTGCTTGTTTGCTTTCTTTTCTTAAATTCATCATCAATAAAAGCCTCCATATTCCTTCCTGGGCTTTCTTCTCTGAGGCAATCTTCTTCTCTCTTGCCTGCCCACACTCCATGCCAGTGCATGGTCCTAACCCTGAGACTGTTGCATGAGTTGTTATTGTCATTTGTCACCAGGAAGGAACACTAGATATCTGCTTTGAAGGTGACGATAAAATCCACCTGACTCAGACGGATTCGAGAAGCATTTCTTGAGTGCCCATATGGCTGGACAATATTCTGGGCACTTGAGATATAGCAGGAAACCAAATAGTAAGAATACTTGCCTTCCAGGAGCTTACATTTCAGCTGCTAGTACTAATCAACTTGGTCTCATCTTAATTGTATTTAAGATATAAGCTTGAGTGAGGAGAGCAGATTATATAGGAACAAAATTTACAAAATGATGAGTTTGAGCTGGGAGACATTATTAGCATCCAACAGGTTCTTCCTAATGATGTCTTGAGTGAGAAGCATTTATGAGCTGAATAAATTACAATATGTATTTGTTAAGAGGACATCAAAGCAGACTAGGCATACAGTGTATTGTCTCTCATGGTTTCTGTTCCAGCTTTTTTTTTGTTGTTTGTTTTTCTTTTTGGTATTCACTTAACAATCATAACTTACAATGACTGGATGTTCTTAAAGACACACACAAACATGCTGGTTTCAGCCACTGTTTCCTAATTTCATGGGCAAACACAATTCATGGAGGTGGATTCTCACCGGTGACGTTTCAAACCTTAAAACTTGTCATGGTATGGAAGGGGATTTTTAACTTTTCTGACATGAGAGGAAAAGACCATTACCCTATGCTCAGTGATGTCCAGTAAAGTGAAGTGCCAGGCTATAAGGCCCATTTCTCCTCCTGTTGAAGCTGGACTTGGCAACATGGCTTGACTTGGCCAACGGGACTGAGGCAGCATTCCCCTGGAAGGAAGATGGCTGCACCCCGGGCCTTGGCTTCGCTTGCTGCAGTGAGAACCCTGAGAGCACTGTGGACCCTGCCCCATGAGCCTGCTGGAGAGTTAGAGGCCATGAGCCCAGCCAAGAGCCAGACAATCACCAGAATGTGAGTAAGGTGGTTCTAGGTCATTCAGCTGCCAGCACACATTTAGGATGGGAAAGGCCAGCCAAGATCAGCCAGGCTGGCTCAGAACAGACCATCTGCTTTCCCACAGAAACAGGGTGCAAATAAGGTGGTTATTATAAGCCCCAGTATTTGGGGTGGTTCATTAAAAAGCAAAAGCCAAACGCGATCAATGTGGACCAGCAACTCCTGTGAACACTGATTCTACTCCACCACCAGGAGCACATTTTCATCGACATGGTGCCCAGACCCAGACGGTTGAGAACCACATTCCCACTGGAAACGCAGATCTCACAGTGCTAAGAGTCCAGCCTGTGTTGGAGCACAGAAATGATACCCAAAGTATGGCACTTCGCATTCCCAGCACTTTGAATGAAAGGGAATGGGAAGGGCTTACAAGCCTCCTCAAAAATCAATGTCTCTGTGACATTCCTTTATATTTCCTGCCAAGCACAGAGAGGAGTTATCTCTGAGGTTTCCTTATCTGACTGAGGGAACTTCTTCCAAAAGAAACAAAATTGTCTGAAATCTCATTAACCAGGAAAGATGAATCACCAAAGAGGATATGGAGGGTTGTTGCCACGTCTGCTGGACAGACGTTGCAACGATTCTTCTCGGGCTGCTCTCTGGAGACTTTATCTGCACGAGACACCTTGGCGGGCAGCGCAGTTCCATCCCTTACCTTCCCACACAGTCCCCACCTCCCAGGCCCCTGATGAATGCAGTCCCAGACTGTGGTCTGTTCTTCAAACCCTTTCAGCGCCCTGAAAACCACTTGCTCTTCCTCTAAAGCTGCCTGGCTCTCCACTTCCCTCTCCCCTATGAAGAGGGCAATGAAGCTTCAACCATCTGGCCCTTTTTTGAGTTTCGTGCTTGGGATGATTCCCTTGGGCTTGCACATTGATGAATTTGTATGCATTTCTCCTGCTCATCTATCTGTGGCCTGTTCATTTCAGCAGATGTACAGACCTATACCTGCAGAGAGTGAAGGGAAAAATTCCCTTTCCCCTACCCTGGAAACGTGCAAATACATGTGGTCATAACTTACACAGCCTACCTGGTTCTATCTTATGTCATAATCACAATGGGCACATAAGAAAAATTCTCATTTATAATAGATGTGCTTTTAAAGATAATAGACAGCAAGATTATATGGACTTTTGATCAAAATGGCCTATGTATTCAATCAAATGAAACATTATCTTAAATAAAATATATTTCATCTATTGTTGCATTGGTTATTAAAATTATACTGCTAATTAACATCAGAAAGTGGGGGCATTAGATACTTTTTCGTGGCCCGGTTCTCACTTAGAAACTTCACGTACAGATTTTGAGTGGATCTTCTGAAAAAGTAGAATGACGACCTGCCATTCCTCTGTGTCTGGGGGTTTCGTCTTGACTCTTAGGCAGCTGATGAACGCGATCACCAGTTTCCTTTTAGAACAGAGGGGTTGTTCTCCATAAGCTGTCATACAGATTCAGCTTCTTTTAATTCTATTTTGTATGCATTGCATTTGCTTCTAAATTAACTCATGTATAAAGCTTTACTGGTACAAATATTATCTCATAGGAAAAACAGAAACAAACACTTGAAATGTTCACCACCTTACATGATTTCCTCTTGTAATTTGAAAATCATGCAAAATTCGATGTGGTGAATATGGTTTATGACTGTCATTTATACTGTGACACACATGAATTGTGAGATCAATAGAAGCTTTGGAGATCTCGAAAAAAAGCCACGCCATCAATCGTGTACTGCAAAGATACAGTCGCATATTCAGATGGGGGCAATTATTAACATAATTGTTAATATGTTACAATTAACATATGTTAACATGTTGACATATGATTAGTATCATTTTGCCTCTTTGTCGTTTCACCCATACGTTTTTGTTTTTAAGTCTTTTCAAAAACAATTTTATGAACAATAAGTTAAAGCATAAAATGTATCTATTTTAAGACTTCAAATTCCATGTTTTCCAGCATCATTTTCATTTAACTCACACTTATTCTCTCTTCTTTGTCATCGATTCGAACTTTGTCTTTTTTCCAGTAGATGGTGGGCTCAGGGTGTCCACGGGGCGGCTGGCACTCCAAGATGGCGGGCTCTCCCGCTGCCACCACGACGTCCGTGGGGTTTTGCCGGAAGTCGTCACGCAGCACTGAGGAAAGAGAATGACAGCAAGAAACTCAGGGACAGCCACTTCAGCTTTGCGCTGCACAAGGTCACGTCAAGTCTTGCTGACTCTGTTCAGGAACAATTGCCTGGATGTGGACTGAGAACACAGCCACGCCCATCTTAAGATAGTCTAGAGCCAACTCCAGTGTGCAACCCCAGGGGAAGGGCTGGCAAAGTGCTCGAAAATCCTACTTTAAAAAGTAAGCTAAGCCTAAGGGCGGCATGGTACGGAGTCTCCACGCTATCGTTCTGAGATTTAACAGAGACCAAGGTGCAGACGTCATGCACACATGGCCTAGGTGAACAAGCCCGTGGACTGGAGGGAAGTGGGAGAGGCCCTGGGAAAGGCCTTTCTAGCACATGAGCGTGAGCAGGCCCACGCTGCTCTCACGATGCCTCGGGAGACAGAGCCGGGGCCACCTCGCACGCACCAGCACCCACACCCAGGCCACCTGCCCTCCAGCCTCTCTGCATCTCCACCCTTCAGGCAACATGTCGACAGCACAGCCTTAGGGCAGAGACAACCCCACAGCGGTGTGGCCATGAATCCCCTTCCAAGAAGGGAATAGCAGTCTGGATATCTGCTGTGACCATGGCCAATCTGTCGTGCCTGGCTCTTCAAATGTCACCTGTCTCTCTGCCCCTACCCCTCTGCTGTCCGTGAGAGAGGAAGCCCGGGAGGGTGGCCAGGCCCCATCAGCTGCAGAAGCTGGGTGTATCTGGTAGAGAGGAGCCTTGTCAGCCTCAGGGAGGACTTCCAAGAACGTCGCTGAGACAGCAAACATGCCACACACTACAGCTGCCTCTACTTCCTGTTCTCTGACGTCCCAACACCAACGCGTTTGGCTCCAGAAGATATAGGGCAAACACATGCACATGACACAGGCACATGTGTGCACACATGCCCATGACAAGCTGCTAGAAACCAGCGCCAGACAGCCTGCCACATGCATCACGCCTGCACATGGGCACTGGCCACTCCAGCTCCCTCCATGACCCCCGCAAGACCCACTCTGGGACACTCCACCTTGTGTGGCCAGGACTCTGGGTCAACCGTCAACCTCCACATAAACAGGGCTCCTGTCCTCAGACAGCTCCAGAGAGCCGCAGAGGAAGGCTGGCTTCCCCTGCAGCATGCCCTGTAACGGAGCTTTCCATCCTCGTGAAGTCACAGCCTTTCTGGAGATGACAGCCTGCCTCTTGCTGGAGGAGCCGAGAATCCGGCCCAGAAAGCTGGTTCAGTGTGTACACTGACTGACTGACGCCTTCACTGCTAAGGAAGTGGGTCCCACGTGAGCACTGCGAACCTCACACTTCCGGTCCCCTGTCTAGCGGTCCAGGAAGAGATGACTCCTGTGACACGAACTTGCTTCTTCAGAGGCTGGGGGAGGCATCTGTTCAAGTGTGACACCCAAGCAAGTGATGAGAAGGGGTGAACGCCATGGTTCCCTCTGGTAGATGATCCCATTCATGTTCTAAATGCAGAACAGCTGCCCCACTGTGCAGTGTTAGGAAGTACAAAAACACGGCCAGAGGGTGCTGCGTGCCCTGTGACCTCCAGGACTGGCGGCACTCGGTGTCTTGGCAGCCCCTTGCTCCACTCCAGATGGACACATCTGGCCAGTCCAAGGATGACCCCGGGGCCGCTCCCACAAATGACGTGCAGAAAGCCATCGTAAGACGGTGGCCAGTTATCCTGAAATACAATGTTGCACTGATCTGTGACAATCAAAAATTTTTTTTTTCAAAAGTCCCTTTGACACAGGGAAAAAAAGGAGAATAATGTCATAACAAACTCTAAGAACCACTACTCTTACAACATAAAACGTGTTTATGGCACTTGCAAGAGAAGGAAGATGACTTCCCACTTGCAAGTGAAGCCAAGAAATCTACCACTGGGGTGACCTCAGGCCGCCCAGGTTTCCACCCACAGTCAGGAGAGAGAGAGGGCATAGCAAGTGCTCTTTCCCTCAGCTTGGAAGGGGCTCGCCGGGGACGGTCCCGTGCTCAGGGCATCCACTCGTGCTAGTGACATCCCTCCCCTCACCCCAGGTCTCCAGGACAAGAAAACATGCCTCTTCTCTCTTGCAAACACAACTCTCAAGGGAAAACCAGGCTCTCAGCGGGTCCCAGCACAGCAAGCATCAGACTTAGCTTTAGGAAAGAGTCAAGTCGGGTTTACGCCTCTCAGACTTTAGAGGATGAAACACGTGTTCTGGTATCTGCTTATATGTGCCCCGGTTCTGGCTGTTCACTCATAAATGTAAGAAGGCAGAATGAAGCACTGGTTCTCAGCCCGTGTGTGTGTGCTAGTCATTCATATCGGTCCTGAGTTTGGCCTGTGACTTACCGGCTGACAACAAGGTGGAACATGCTACTGTCGGGAGGGAGTCGCCATGTTGGGTGAGGAGAACTCAAGTGGTCTTGGACACACAGTGACCAGGTGAGTTCAAATGCCAAGAGTGTGTGTGCGTGTATGTGTGTGTGTGTGTGTAACAGAAAGAGAGAGAGAGAGAGAGAGAGAGAGAGAGAGAAATCCCCCTTAATCCCCTACCTGAAAGGAGGAATGGAAAACAATCTTTCCAGGTGTAGCTGGCAAGCGAGCCAGAACAAGAGCACAGGGCCAAATGTGAGCACCAAAAGCTCCAAATCTGAGAAGAAAAGTGAGTCTGAATGACAGACATTCCGGGAAAAGACAGAAGCTGAGAGGCGGTGGGGCTACACCACGAGAAGGACGCACTGTGCCCACGACGGCAGCATCCATTTCCCTCCCCACCAAGTGCCGGGCCAGGGGAAAGCATCCTCCTCCCTGCGCTCTGAAGGCTCCTGAGAAATCAGCTCACGAAGGCAGGTGGCTTGGAGAAAAGGCCGCGGAAGCATCCACGTGCAGGGGGTCACAGGGCGACCGCCCAGTATCCGGATTGGGCCTTGACACTCACAGACCTCCCTCTCTGGGGAGGTAGATGGGAAGTATGGACGATTGGAGGTAGGGGATGGTTTCTGGGGGAAGCAGTGACTGGAAGAACAGACAACGGCCTGCTGGACCCTCAGAGTGGACAAAGGTTTGTGTCAAATGACTGCCCAGGGTTGTGGACAGACTTGAGTCTTTTTTTCTGTGACATGGGTTCAGTGAATGAAAACTCAGGGAGAGAAGCCAAGATCACTGTCTCCTTCTTTGGCAGGTCTGGACTTCGGGCAGTAAGATGCTTCAGGGACGACTTCCTCTTGTGCTCGGGTAGACACAGAGGACCGAGGGACAGGGTTCAAGGGGGAGAGGGAACCCTGGGCTTCTTCCCTGGTTCAGCATGCTGGCGTGCTCCACTTGGTTCTGCCTCTGAGCCCCACAAAGGGCACAGGGGCTCCCTTCTCTCCCCTTTGGATCACAGCCCTCTAACAAGTGTGCACCGTACCACGTCAACGTATAATACGAGAAATCATCTGTCAGTTAAAAACAGAATCTTAAAAATTAAAGTTAACATGAAAAGCATATGGTAGGTGAACTTCAAAATAATAAAATTTTGAGAAGAAAGAGGGCATAACAGGTGCACGTTGGCAGAGCACTACTGTGGGCCTGAGTGAGGAACCCTCCCCTCCTGGGGCCAGGGGAGGAGCCTGTGTGCGAATTGGAACCCACACGTCCACTGCTGTGTAGGAGCCGGAAACCAGAGGTCCCCTCGTCGTAACATGGCCTGAGTTACACGTGACTGGTTTTCACACTGGTATGCACCGCGACTTAGAAAATTGTTTTGGAGGAGGAGGAGAACACTGTGAATGACAAGGGCGGTGGATGCAGCCGAGTTCATGTTTAGGACATCGAGACGTCTGACACATGAATTCAATTCCACAGGTGGGCACTGAACATCACGACGCGCTCCTGTTGTCCAGGGAGCGGCTGGGAAATGGGTTAAAACATGACCGGCGCGACAGTGCCCTGGCAAGTCCTGGCCCTAACGGCCCCCAGAGGCCCCCCCGCTGGCGTTGACTCCCCTGGCAAGCCCCCTCCCCTGACTGAGAACAAAACCTGGCAGCTGCCTTTAATGAAGAGAATGTTCACAAAGTGATGGGATGCCACTTCCAGAACTCGGTCCTAGGCATGTGCGCCTGCCGTGCGTGGGTCTCTCCCCTCTCTTGCGGGAGCTCAGAAGCCAAGACCCCCAATAAGGTGCCTTGGCTGCTCACCTCAGGCACCTGGGAGCACCCCGCAGCACAGGCGGCTGAGCTCTCACCCTGGCTCCGGTCCCCCAGAGGGTCCCCAGGGAATCCCGCCCAGGCTCATGAGACAGGGAGACAGGGGCCTGGCGCAGAAAGAACTGCGGTCGGCACCACGTCGGAGCCCGAAGGCGCTCGTCTGGCTGGAGTCTGCACTCTGGCCCCTCAGCTCCTCTGAGACTTCTCTCCTCTCCCTCTGGAGCCAGCTCCACCCGCTTCCAGCTGCCTTAGGGGAGGGTGTCTGGCTCTGGCCTCGCCTCTCAGGTTCTGGCCCCTCCTTGGCTGTCATGCCTTACCCGGCTCCTATGCACACATGCAAAACTGTGTGAGCCCTTTCGCCCGTCACTCTGTCATCAGCGGACTGAGGAGACCAAGTTACAGAGCCTCGGAGGGCGAAGTGGTCCCCTGCGCTCTCGCCTCACGCCTTCCCCTGACTGTGCAGGACCCCATGCTGGGTGTGGGAAAGGCACGCCCAGCAGCTGAAAGCCAGCGAGCACAGGTCTCCCTGTGGGCAGGTGTGGTCCCTGCATGTGCAGCCAACGGCCAGGCCGTGTGGCCGGTGACATCCCCATTTCCTGGAAGACACTGAACTCTAGGCCATGTCATTGCTCACACGTGGTACTTAGCTCACGAAGATGAGAGTTCAGCAAGTCACATGAGTCAGGCGGGTACCCGGGGCCTTTGGCCATGCATGGAGAGAATATGTGCAGCTTTGTTCTGGATCGCAACAGGAGTGTTCTTTTACATTTGCTTTTTTCGCTCAAATGACCCTCC